CCCGCTCTGGGTGCTTGATCTTGATTACTTGCTTTTGACTGGAAGACCCGCCAAGCTATAGAGAAACCTGCAATGCATCCCTCCTGGCAGTACGGCTCCTGGATCATCAGGAAGTCTACAGAATCTCGTGCATTGTTCGCCTGTAGCAACTTCTGCTCTTTGCAGGTTTTTTGTGGCAGCGGATATCTGTGCTGTCGTAGGGTATTTGATTCTGTGGGTACGGTTGATTATTATTTGCTATTAGTTGGCTGTTAGTACGCTGTGCTGCGTGTGCCGTTCAATATATCGTGCGTATGTCGGCATGGGCGGTGTAGCTGCATGCGCGGTATGATTTTACCACGTGTTCTGATTAAAATCGGCACAGTTGATGCAGGTTGGTCTGCTGGCTCTGCATCCTTAACGCTGTGACTTTAGCAGAAGGCGCATGTTCTTGATTTACACACTTTGTAGGTGTGAATGCTGACATCTATAGCACCGTCGCGTATTAAAATATTCTGAGATTCTGTAGAGTCTCCATTCGAAGCTGATCTTTTTGAGTTGCATAAGCTTGTCGTATGTCGCAGGTTCGCATTCGATAATCCATTGGTTCCATTTCGTCCCTTCTTTCAGTCTGTACAGAACCTTTGCTGTGGACTTTGTAAGAGCAAATCTGAAGCTAGAAGTCATTTCGACCTCCTCCTCTGTACTTCTGGCGGTACAGCGTGAATTGCAACCCTAGGATGCCTTTTTCCGGGAGTTTCGTCTGTACAATTTTGACCTTCTTCACTGCCCATGTATTGGCTAGTTTAGAGAGGTCTTCTTTTGTGGGGCAATCTACTGCCAGTCCTCCTTTTTGGATTTTCCTTATTGCCATTAACTCTAACTCCTAGGCAAGGGGGAATTTTCATTCAAGGTGGCTTTTAGATCTTTGCCTGTTCTTGGCGTCTTGGGCGGATAGATCAGCAGAGTATGGGTTCTGGGTTTTCTAGACTGGCTGGGCTTCTGAATCCGCTTGCTGCCTCCGCAAAAGGATCTTGGGATGGGAACCTGGGAATTACAGCTGTTTCTACGTCAGTGAAAGGGCTTGGTGCTGCTTGAATCACTTGGTCCTGCGTTAGGTTGGAAGTGCGCTAAGCCGCAACAGACGAGGGTAGATGTGTTTGTGCCTGCCTCGTGTGTTGGCGGTTTTGGACTGAAATCTGGCCCTTCGAGTGCCAACCCTTTTAGCACTTCCAGTGAATCCTTGAGCCTGTTCCTTAAGACTTGGGAAAGAACGTGTTTGCCTCCTCGATAAGTGTCGGCAATTAGACTGATGTCCCTTGCTAGAGCTGCAATTCGCTCTTCGCGTGTAAGCTCAGACGTCAATAAGGCCTCCGTATCCAAGTTATCGTGTGAGGTAGTTCCTGCTTCGTCTGATAAAGTTGTCGGACGTGTCATGTCAGAGTGGAACACAGCACTGAGCAATTATGCGCTTAACACTAAAACACTAGCACTTAGCACTTCGAGATGACACTTGCGTCACACTTGGTGAACTTATAATACTTGACACACTTTTACACACTGTTAGCACTATTGCACAATTACTTGTGCCTCTCTGGGTATCTTGGCAGTCAGACTTCTCTGTTCTTCACCTGATATTAATTAGTTGTAATCTAATAATTGTAATCCACGGTAAATGTATTTGCAACTTTGACACACATTTGCACTATGTAAACACTGCACTGCACTGAAATTGCTATTTGCTTTCTAACTTTGACACACACTTGCACTATGTAAACACTGCACTGCACTGAATTCTGCTATTTATTTCTAACTTTGACACACACACTTGCACTATGTAAACACTACACTGCACTGAATTCTGCTATTATTTCTATCTTTGACACACACACTTGCACTATATAAACACTGCACTGCACTGAATTCTGCTATTTAATTCTAACTTTGACACACACACTTGCACTATGTAAACACTGCACTGCACTGAATTCCTGCTATTTATTTCTAACTTTGAACACACACGCTTGCAGTATGTAAACACTGCATTGCACTGAATTCTGCTATTTATTTCTAACTTTGTCACACACACTTGCACTATGTAAACACTGCACCGCACTAAATTCTGCTATTTTTCTAACTTTGACACACACCTTGCACTATGTAAACACTGCACTGCACTGACAAATAACATATATGCTCAACAATTCAGCGCTGTGGCTGACGATGTGGAAGAGACATTAATCAGTCGTATCAGGTACACGAAATTCGCTCTACATTACGAATGGATGAATCGATTGATGTCGCCGGCTTAACCGTTTTAGTGGTATTTGTTCGTTATGCTTACTTACAAAGCTATTAATTAACACATTAAAGGCGGGAGTCAGTACTACGATTTATCTCGACTGTAGCTTAAAGGCGGGAGCCGCAGTACTACGATTTATCTCGACTGTAGCTTTAAAGGCGGGAGTCGTAGTAATACGATTTATCTCGACTGTAGCTTGCGCATCTCCACTGTAGCTAGCGCATGCATTGCGCAATCCATGCGCCATCTTTACATTTGTATTTAGTATGTTTTGTGGTTTGAAGCTGTTCGGTTGTTCAAATTCTACTTACAGTAAATTTGGAAATCCTTCAATATGGTTTCACGTGAAAATCAAGATATATATATGCAGACGATTTGATGGACAGTGAAGAGCCACAACCTGGTACATCGAATTGGGCACCACGGACACCACGATATAAAATTGATCCGCCTGGACGTCTTTCGCTAGACATCAAAAAGCACAAATTAATTCGGATAGAAAATAAAGGCAAAAAGCTATATGCCCAACGAAACTGCGTAGTTTGTGCGGCACATAAAAAAAGAAAGTTGACTTTCTTCAAATGCGAGTTTTGCAATGCACCTTTTCACCGTGGCGAGTGTTATCAACATTATCGCACTCATAAAAAATACTAGGTTATAAATATGTACTTTAAAACATTTTTTGTAATTAGTGTTTAGTTCTTTTTTAATATTTCTTGTAGTTTTAAGAGCTTAAATAAACTTTTTTAAGTCTAAATTTTTTATGATTACACAAAATATCGCCCGCTCTAGGACGAAAAACGAGGCGAAGCGGTCGCCGCGTTATCTAGCATACTTTCGTCAAGATCCCCCGCCTTTAATGTGTTAAGAAGAGTTCCTTCTTTGCAAACGACTACCAATCGCCATATCCAGAGGTGAAACATTTAATCCTTTAGAAGAATTCTTCATTAAATTAAATACCGTTGGAAAACTTTGTAGCTATATGCACTGATGGAGCAAAGATAATGAAGGGTCACAATGCAAGAGTCATTGCTAAAATTATATAGAAGTAAGAGAAATATAGCAGCAGCCACTGTATTCTTCATAGATAAGTATTAGCCTCGAGTAAAATGTCTTCTGAGCTTATAAGAGCGTTGAATGATGATAGAAAAACAATAAACTATATAAATTAGAGACCTCTTAAAAGCATTTCTTCAAACTAATGTTTGAAGATACGGGCAGTCACCATGAATCTCTCCAGCTAAACACTGAAGTAAAGTGGTTGCCTCGTGTAGAAACGTTGACACGTTTGATAGAACTTCGTAGAGAAGTAGCAGTATTTTTGATGGGCCATATCGCTCTACTGGAGACGATTTTAAATGATGAAGTCTGAGTATGCAAACTGGCCTATTTGACTGACACTTTTAGAAAAAATGCCATATTTTTTTTATACAAATGCCAAAATATCTTCTTTTAATAGGAAATTTATGTATTGGTTGGAGAGCACGTAAGAGCAAGATATTGATTGCTATCAAGAGCTTCTTGAATGAAAATAACTGCAAGGTTCAAGAAAAAATATAGAAAAATATTCAGTTGCATCTTGAAGCTTTGAAAGACTAGCCTGAACATTATTTTCCGACACCTCGAGAAAAGGCGCTTAGTGTCTTTAAATGGGTTCTGATGTATTCAGAGTAAATAAAAAAACACCTCGCTTAAATTCAGCAGAAAACGAGGGTTTTATAGAGTTGACATTTCACAGCTAACTAAAAATCTCATTTTAAAAACAAAAACTATTGAATTTTGAGATGTATTTACTCCAATTATTATTGTTTCACTCTCAATTAAAGATCTCTGTGAAACGAGACGCTTATACAAGTACCAAAACAAAGTACAAAAGCCACTTAAACGCAGAACCAGACATTCGATTGCAGTTATTATCAGTTAAACGTAAAATAAGAAACCTGTGCCAAAAAATGCAATCGCATGTCTCACTGAACGTTTATATGCTATTTCATGTTATGTCTTAATTTAGGTCACAGTGCACTCTAGTTGCATTATAGTTGGTGTAATTAAACTGAAATTGTTTTTTATAATGAATGAGTGGGTATTTTAAATAAATTCGGTATGATAGTTAATCTGCATGAACTGTGCTCATTATACAGACCATTTTTATTTTGCTCTCATCAGTAATCTTTTATAACGCAAATGCTTTGTTTTATTGAACTGTGAAATAACCCTTTGTTTTGACAATGTTATGTGTATTTATTGCAGTTGAAAATAAACTAATATAATGGTAAATTTGAAGCTTTTAAAACAATTTCATGATATATTTTCTTCAGTTCTTTATTCCGTTTCAAAATTAATTCGTTAAAAATTGCTAATGCCTTTCGCGCCAAAGAGCCATCCAAAGAATTTTAATGAACTGAGTTGTTTTTTTTTTTTTTTTTCCTTACATCATTACACTTTATACATGTCTACTTAATTTAAAAACCAATAAAAATATAGATTGATTAAATAGCACATTTAAATAGCACATGATAACCATTCTATTTCGCAGTCTCTTTTTAACTGGAAAAAAAATTAAATGACTTACTGATTGTAATAAATGATGAATTCTCGATGCTTTTATATACAGACAATCGGAGCTCCAATTCGATAACAATTGTACGTGATCATATTACGCGGCAACTACTGTGCATAGTGCTTTAATTCTGAAAAAAAAATTACTTTTATTTTATGAAACATTTTATTTTTACTGTCATTTTTTAGGTGCTGTGGTCATTACTGCAGTGTTTCTTGTTAGTGTCTTAGGACTCTTTGGTGGGTTTTGTATCTCTATGGCTTGTATAGCAGTTTTCACAGATATTTTTAGGACATATCGAGAAAGAGGTGCAAATCGTTGCTCGTTTTGCTGTAAGTAGCTTTTTTTTTTTTTTTTTTTTTAATTTTATGGTTGTCTTTAAAATGTATTACGTTTGCCATTTGCAAATGCTCATTACTTGCAACTTTTTTTTTTTCTTAAAAATTGAAGTCGTTTGTGTAGTTTATATGTTTTCTTCCATCCTATATCCATGCGTAACGAAATGTAAATACAGGCTTTTAAAAGTTATTGCTACTTAAATTAAATACACTTTTAATTAAAAGATTCGACTAATTTAACTGTAAATTATTTCATTTCTTTTTATTTAATAATAGTGTATGTATGTGCATTTAATAATTTCCAGTCAAACTCCTGATATCAATGATATTTCTTTTATTGTATCATTAGCTGATAGCCAACAATTAAGGAATAATAGTCCAAGAAAACCATTTTCACTTGCACTGTTTTTCCTCAGCCGAAAAAAATAGTCATGAGAAGTTTTCTTGGTGCGTACCACAAAAATATAAATGAGCAGGCAGTATATCAACCTTAGCTTTTCTCTGTAAGCCAGTCTTTTAATCAAATCAACGTAAAAAATCTCATGAAATACTGCGTACAACTACACGTGCAAATTGCATTATAACAATTTGTCCTTATTCAAACAATAGGGTGACTAAAATATATTCTATTTACACCCAGCCTGTCCTTACCTCTTGGAGTATTCTTCCACTCTGGTGTATATATATAAGATCTTCCAATCATAACAGTATTGAAAACATAGGTATGAAATTTAAGAAAATAATGTGAAGATTGACGTTCGAGTTGTGAATCAAGTTCAATATCTCGGAGTCTGCTCTTCAGAGATAAATTATACTACCTAAACTATGCAACTGGTCTTGCTTCCTTTCAATTTCTGCTTCGGCTATATTTCTTTGAATATTGAAAACTGAAATCATTATGCTGAAAATAACTAATTAATTTTGAAACAAATTATATCTAAAATAGTTTTATTATTTTTTAGTTAAATTAAAAACCCTTGCTTGCTGATTATAAATGCATAAAAAATGTAAAAGCGATGCTATCATATTAATCCCTCACACATGGTTATTTTTTAGGCTCATCTGAAAGCGCTACAGGTCAGGCATGCCAATCTTGTTGCTAGAATTTCCATCTACTGAGATGTCTGAAGTACAGTATTAAACTTACATGACCATGCATCTGAAGCCATTCTTCAAAGAAAATCTAAACAATCGTATAGATAAATAAAATGACTAGATGTATTTCATATGTTTTTCACCCGAATTACGTTCTTCATTTGTTTTCTCCTGTATTTGGTGTTTTTGCAAAAATAAAATATCATATACTTTGTGCTGTAATATTTTATTAAAAATTAAAAACAGTTTCTAAGGAAGCAGCATCATGCAGCATAGCTTTTGAGGAAAAGACTGGATGATGTTCGTACTCAAGATGGTTATGGCTAAACTGCGGCCGTATGCTTAATACATTAAACACTTCGAGTTTATCCCTTGTTTAGTTAACTGCGAATGTACTGGGTGCATGGGTATTTTCCTAGTTTTCCTCATTTATAAACTGAATTCAAGCTCGTTTCTCTGCGAAAGCCTTCCAAGGAAACATTACTGTTTATATAGATTGATAAGTTTTGTGGAATAAATTTAGTGCATTTCAGAAGCAAAATTTTTCTTCTGACTGACAGTAAAAATAACCTCATTTTGAAACATATTATCCTATAACTGTGGTTACTCTTCTTTCAATAAATGATTGCCACAGCTACGTCACAATAATAGAAGAGAAAAGCATTAAGACTGAAAACAAAACTGTCCTAAATTTAAAATCAAATTTCAGTATCATGTTTTTCTTTTTAAAAATCAATTGATGCATACTTTGTGAAGTTTTTTGTCTTATATTTTTGAAAATTCAATTTCTAAGTAAAAGTAATTTTTAAAGTTGAAAAAGACAAAACTGAATTATGCTTAAAACATCTTCCGCCCACGTGCTTGAATAAATTCTTTTAAACATAAAAAATTTCTTTTAACACAGCTTTAAGAAGAAAATTATAGAAGTATTCCATAGGTTAAATACAATGTTGATACTGTTTTATTAACAACAAATGCAGTTTTCAGTAAATGAACATTAGTGTAGTATCAAACATAAAAAGTTTTATAAATTCATGTTACATTAATTCATTTAAAATATTATATTGCCACTGAAAACTTAATTTTGCCTTAAGTCATATCACAAATACCTGTTTAAAAATATCATAACATTTATTGAAGAATAGTACAATAAATGCAATTTGTAAGAAAGCGTGATAAACACTGATTAAATGCAGAGAACTTTCCTCTTTGAAGACAATTAATTAGTTCAAAATAGAATATGCTAAGAAATATCATTATTAAACAAGATCCAAACAAATGTAACATGGAAATAAAAAAAAGTTTCGCAATAAAAAAGCAATGCTTGTGGCATAAAAATATTGCAAGAATATCATTTTAGAAAATCATGCTCTGTATGGCGGTGGTCTGTCGTATCTTATTTCTACTTTCTGATGTATTAACGGAAACTCAGATTTAGGTTGAGTATATCGAGAATAATCGGTTGGAGCTGATGGTTGTACTTCTGTTTGCACTGCTGATGAATGCACTGGCTGGAGATGTCCGATTGTGGTTTTCATGGAACCATAGGTATATCCAGGAAGGGGTATGTAGCCACCATTAGATCTGTAAGGAAAATCTTCCATCAGAGGAGGCTTGGTTGGCTTGTCTGGCTGTCCGCGGCAGCAACAGACGCACATCGCAACAAGGATTGCAATGAAGCTTGTTATTCCAAGCACAGTGGCAGCAATAGCAATTGGTGTGATGTTAGCTGTAAAAATTTCAAATTTTTCAAATTTTCAATTTTCTTAATTAAATGTGTAATACAATACTCTTTTATCTGCTGCTCAAGATCTTTAAAATTTCTTACTTTTCCTGCAAAAGCAAGAATATAGTTATTTCTAAAATAAAATAAGGGTAATTCGAGAGAAAAGAGTGCATTTCATTGAAGTTTTTAGCAGACTGAGAGAAATATATGACGATGATGATGTATTAGCACATGTTTTTGGATTTATAGGTTTAAACGGTTTGCTTCTTTTGTAGCATTAATACTTCTTCGCCCAAATTAATTGCATATTGGCAGTCTTCAGGAAGCTATTCAAAGGTTTTCCTCCCTCGCAAAAAAACAACATGGCATTGATATTAAAATTGAAGATTTATCTACTAAATGTGTATTACAAGTGACAAATTTAAAATTGACTGATTTTTAGTCAAAATGAAAGAATATGATGACTTTCTAAAATGCAGTCCGTCAAAAACAGTTTCAGAAGAACTCGAAGTATTTTAACAATGAAAAATTAGCAGGACTCATGCTAAACGAAAGTTTTGAGGAAAAATATTTTTTTTAAAATACGAATATTTTAAATACAGGGTTTCCATAATTAAACTTGAAATTTGCGAGCAGTCTGTAACAAAAACTATGCAGCATAATTGCATGAAAATTGGGTTATGGCAGAAAGAAATGATGGGAATTTTATCGAGGAAAAAAACAACAGTGAGTTTCAAAAACAACCAACAACCACAGTGTTTATGCAGGATGGTGCTCCCCCACGCATCGCCCGTTGTATGAAAAAAGTACTCTGCCGCCATTTCGGCGATGACAGAATCATCAGCTAGCAGTTTTCTACAGCTTGGCCTCCTAGATCTCCGGACTTGAATCCTTGCAACTTTCCGGCTGTGGGATACCTCAAGGCCATGGTCTACCGTGATCCCATCACATCTCTGTCCGACCTTAAAGAAAGCATAGAAAGCCATGTGCATAACATTCCCCAGTTTAAGCTGCTTTCCACAGTCAAACATGCGATTTTACGCTTCAAGATGGTAGCAGACAATGGTGGACATCATATCGAGCATGTTTTATAGATTATTTATATGTTCTCAATAAAGCTATGATACGCCACCTAGGAGTGGTTTTTGAAACTCATTTTTTTTTTTCCCCTCTGTAAAATTCCCATTATTTCATTTTTGCCATTCCCAATTTCGTACAATTCCGCTGTATAGTTTTTGCTACAGACTGCTCGCAAATTTTAAGTTTAATTATGGACACCCTATATATATATTTACTGTTTTATTTCATCCTAATAGTTTATATAATCCTCGCTGTTGTTTTTTATCCTACTATTGTGTTAAACTTTATTGATATTTTGAAGTAATAATTTAATTGCAAAACTTCGCTGTAGGAGAGAAGTGCATTTAGTATATTAAGCATAAATATGAATCTTTAACATCTTGTGCATCAAATGTTACTCTATTAAAATGCCGAAAAGACTCTCACCAAATTATAACGGCTTTTTTGAAACCGTCAATTAGAGTATAAGCTAAAGGGTAATTTTTCGATGCTTAAAATTTATATTACGACTTGTATAGACAGTCATTTATCGAAATAAATGACTGTTATTTCAATGGACGCTATTAAAGGACTTACGATTAAGCACAGCTGGCAACAAAGTACGTATTTCTCTCAAAAATGATCTTCATAAAACAATGCAACTGTCTATTCAACGAAAGTAAAATAAATTATATATACTAAAAAAATGCTGTCAGGAGGATACGACTTTATACAGAAAGAATTGCACTATGGCAAATATTTCTTAACATAAACTATTTAAACTAATTCTTGGTGTTCTAGACGCACAACCTATATCCAAGCGGATCTCACAACTCTGAATGTGGAAGTAAAATTAGTTTGCTCCTTCTAGTAAAAGAACCTTATGTTTTCAAAACCGATGGAATCTTTTGTAAAATCAACTCTAGGCCAAAGCAGATTTTTTCCTAATATTTTAGTTCTAGTATTGGTGTCCTTATACAAGAAGAAAGTTTTCGGCTGTCTGTATAAATGCAAATACTCTACATCCTAAAACCGACAATAATTCTTGTTATGACAAGTATGAAAACTGATTTAACAGATTGTTTTTAATTGATTTTAATAGACTGCAAGAAATAACAGAAAGTAATTTAGTTTGCAAATTAACAAATATCAAAATTTCACAGAGGGATGGCCATCAAACAAATGTGATGTACTATAAGTTAAAATAAATTATAGAAGAAATGTTTTAACAGAAGTTAACTACTTTATACCTACAGAATTAGATAAAGTTAAGTTATTTGAATACAAACAGCACACGAGGACTATCTGTCTAAGGAGAGGGATGCCTTCGTGAAAAAATTTCTAACAGAAACTGTCTCATATTCACATTACATACGAAAAATCTGCAGAAACTATACGCTGAGCCCTACTGTTCGCTTAGGATAGAATACCGGTCGAACTACCAGTACTCAGCGGTCTTAACCGCTGATCAACTGTGGAACCATGTACCCACAAAACAATTCAACATTGCAATCAATACGCAGTTATATTTATTAGTTTTTTTTTTTTTTTTTTTTTTTTTTTTTTTTTTTTTTTTTTTTTAGACAAATAGGATATAAACATACGAAAACGACTGGACAAAAATTAATGAAATAACTTTTCATTAATTTAATTTTGAAATTTGAACTTTTATTGGTCAAATCTATTGGATTTGTTAAATCTGAATATCATTTTTAAATAAAAATTATTGAAATGATAGAAAAATTCTTACTTAAATGTTTTCAACGCCTGCTGTATTGTCGAAGAAAAATTAGTCATAAAAAAGATTGAAGACATTAGTTGAAGTAAATAAAGATAAAAATTAGTTACTGGCAAAAAATAATTTAATTAAGACGTAAACAATTCAGTCAAGCGATACTGCATTTACCGTATTTGACGGCATATAAGACGCACCCTTATTTAGAAGGCCACACACAAGGCAAAAAGTTTCAATAGTCCGCGCGACAGCGCGGTACCACAATAACTAATGTGGTTTCTTTTAGTTCTCACGCTTCGTAAAAGCCAAATAAACAATCATTGAATGCAATACCAAACATTTTTATTAAGAAATTAACAACGGCAGCTATTTTGAACATGATTGTAATTTCAATAATGAATAAATGAATGAACGGCAGCATCAAACATAATGCAAATAAAGCAGAAACAAAAAAACACGATTCAGGAAAACATTGCCTATCATGAAATTAGACTTAATCACTTTCAAACCATAAAATCCTTTTACTTCATCATCATCGAAAACGAGAATTCGTCATCACTACCGTTTCCGCATCGTTCATATCACCTTCTTCGAATAATGCGACGTCTTCTGTTTCCGCCAGAGCATTATTGATTCCGCACTTTTTAAATGATTTAACAATTACTTCAGCCTTACTCCTTCCCAGATCTTTTTTTTTTACCCACTCGCACACTTCTGAAATAGAGGGCCGCTTCATTCTGCCTGAGGGTGTGAAGGGCGTGATGTGGCTCTCCTATCCACTTTTCCATCGTTCTCGCACTTTTTTCCTTAATGCTATTCACCGATACTCTAAGCTGAAATTGCTGGTCGTTTCCACCAGGAATGACAGCTATCTGGGTTTTTAATTCTCTCTCGCTTTATTCTTTATGGTTTCAGTTCTATGAGCGCTAAACTGACCCAAACAAAAGAGAGGGTTTTTTCTTAAGAGTCTACCAGGTTGCCTCGCCATACTTTCTGTAACAACAGTTTCATTCCAGCCTCGTCCATCCAGCCTTTCGGATGAACATGAACAATTACAACAACCGTTGGAAGTTTTTCTTCGGATAGTTTTTCTTTGAATATGAAAAACGGCGGTAGTTTTGGTGCCACAGCACACATTTAGAACTACCGTATATTGGGTTTTTTATGACCTGTGGGTTTTTATGGTTATTGATTGAGACCTATTAATACTCCAGTCTTGTTGGATGGTAACATTCAATGTGAGTTGAATTTCATCCATATTTCCTATTTGACCGGCTCAAAAGAGTTTTCTTGCGTGCTTTATGACAAACCTATGAAATGCTAGTACTTTTTCATCAAATCGCTGGCATTTCCTGGCAATAGTCTTTTTGTGCCCTTGCCTTTTCATGAACCTGTAGCACCAGCCCTCAAACCCTGAAAATTCTGATTCCCCTCATTGATTATCATTTTAGTTGAAACACTTATCCCAGATTTCCTCTTATCTTCACCCACATTTTTACGGCAGTGGCAAGTTCAGGGTAGATGGAGCGGGCATGAAGGTTATGTTTTTTGTTTTAAGCAGTTTTCAGTTGATCTTCCTGCAGTAGCCAGTACGTTATATCATTTCTTCGGTAGGTGGTGGACGAAATGCCTTGCTGCGCTCTGGGTCCATGCCTTGGCGTAGTTAACACCCTAGTTTATAAAGAATGATAGCGATCTCTTGTTTCTGGTCATATTTTCCAGGTTTTTTTTAACAATAGTTTTTTAAGCACCGATCGACACGTTATACAGAGTAGCACCGATACGACACGTGCGTCGCTAAGTCAAGAAAGTCTATGTAAAGAAGAAAAGGCTCCATAGATGTAATGTGACCGTCGAACCTGTTCGAACTTCGACATCAGCTTCGAGCTTTGGCGCTTCTTGGCGACAGTTATTTCACGCATGCGCAAAATAATTATGGCAGAAATAGAAAAAGTTATGTGTGTCTAGACCTTTATCCGGGCTAGTGCACTTAATGTCTTATGATGTAATCAAATAAGTACAGACTAGAAAAATGTGAGTCACAGTGATTATTTTAAAGGTATTAAAATTTATTACTATGTGTACTTTTTGAGTGCAATTTTCGATGCATACATTTTTTTCATCAATGTCTGCAGATTTAACCAGCTTTTGAAGATCGCACATATTGCCTGTTAATTCACGGGATATTATTTACGTTTTGCGTTTAGGA